TGAGTCAATTTAGATGGAATATTTAAGGTATAAAATGGTAAAGTTGTTTAGAGAAGATGGGTAACATCTCTCTGAAGGTTTGATTTGTAGTTAAAGCCAAAAGATGTTTGTAAATGGTAAAACATGAGGATAATGATTTAAATTGCTAAATTTAGCATTCCAAAATCGCTATTGAATCACTTGATGAGGTCTCAATTTTAATTTGCAGGTGTATCTGTGAATCGTGGTTCAAATGGTGCTAGATCCATGGTTCAGGTGTCTAAATTATCTATCCATAATAAAACTTCCTTTCAAATGCACTACTATAATTAAGAAAGTAAAATTAGAGTAGAAAGCCTTTGGACTAAACCTAGATTACAAGATACACAACTTCTCAACAAAAAGAAGATAGCTAGGCAGTATGAACAATAATATTCTAACCGTAGTGACTTGTTTCCATTTCAAATATGTTATTAATGTTTAGTATGTTTGTCTCAAACACCACAATTTAAGGAAAAAATGCTTTTGAAAAAGAGAAGTGCTTCTGACCTAAAAACGCTTGGCCAAACAGGCTCTATATTTATTGACTCAGTGTATTATGATCATGTTTAGGGCATGGTTTTGCTTACTTGTTGATTGTTGATGCCGTTGCTATATCTTATTGAGCATAGGAGCAGAATAATGGTGGTGTGAAGTCAAGTATTAACGAGAAGGGGGTGGGGCGGTGGGGGTTGAAAGATCAACAGGAGAAGGAGAGTTATATGACAATACTACCTCTAATAGGTAGATCACTTCAATTTATGGAATGGGAATAAGGTTGCAATTAGTCATACAACAAACCTTTGAGAAATTCCAACTGAAGCACGGTTTGGAACTTGATGAATAATGGGTCTGTCCTTCTACCCTTCTCCACTTACAGACTACTTGACTTTTGGTCCATGGGAGGAACGTGCACCTAACTTTTACATCACGTACTAGTGTATTATCATTGAACTGAAGCCCTAGGGTATTATTTAGGTCACAGTTTTTTCTTAATTCAGATGGAATATTTTGAGGTATAAAATGGTGATGTTGTTAAGATAAGATGGTTAACATCACATTTTTCTGAAGGTTTGGTTTGTATTTAAAGTCAGAAAATGCTTGTTAATGGTACAACATGAGGATAATGATTTAAATTGCTAAATTTAGCATTCCAAACTCGCGATTGGATGAAGCCCTAGGGTATTATTTAGGTCACAGTTTTTTCTTAATTCAGATGGAATATTTTGAGGTATAAAATGGTGATGTTGTTAAGATAAGATGGTTAACATCACATTTTTCTGAAGGTTTGGTTTGTATTTAAAGTCAGAAAATGCTTGTTAATGGTACAACATGAGGATAATGATTTAAATTGCTAAATTTAGCATTCCAAAATCGCTATTGGATCATTTGATGAGGTTACAGTTTCGATTTGCTAGTACATCTATGAATCATGGTTACGCTGGTGCATGCATGGTGCTAGATCCATGGTTCAGGTGTCCAAATTGCTTATCCTTGGCAAAACATCCTTTCAAATACGCTACTATAATTAAGAAAGTAAAATTAGACTAAAAAGCCGCTGGACTAGCCCTCTATATGACAAGATAGCCTATGTTGCTTGGACTCTTTAAAAATGACAATGGGTGCATGTCTGATCCTCAAAAAGTAGTGCATTTTTTGAGGATCCGACATGGGTGTGGCATCAACTTTGGAGAGTCCGAGCTACATAGAAGATAGCTAGGCAATATTAACAAAAAGAAGATAGCTAGGTAGTATGAACTATAATATTCTAACCGTGTTAGGTGACTTGCTTCCATTTCAGATATGTTATTAGTGAAGACCTATTTATCTATATCTTTTGTTGGGTGATGTACCATGGTTAATCAGAGGTAGTGGGACATATTTTTTTATTTTTTTATTTGGAGTTTTTCTTTATCTTTTTTCAAATGCAAAGGTTTGACAGGTCTTCGTATTTCTACAATTTTAATTTGATGCATCTGTGAATTATGGTTATGCTGGTGCATGCATGGTGCTAGATCCATGGTTCAGGTGTCCAAATTGTTTATCCATAGCAAAACTTCCTTTCAAATGCACTGCTATGATTAAGAAAGTTTCATTAGACTAGAAATCCTCCAGACTAATCCTAGATGAGAAGATACACAACTTGTCAACGAAAAGAAGATAGTGAGGCAGTATGAACATTGTTCTAACCATGTTAGGTGACTGCTTTCATTTCGAATATGTTATTAATGTAGGCCCATTTATATACTATATCTTTTGATGGCTGATGATAGCATGGTTAATTAGAGGTATGGTGACATGGTGGCTTGTCTATTTAGAGTTGGTCTCCATGAAGTATAATATTAGTTCAGGTTTAAGGGGAACAACTTCTGTGGAGGGAAGAGGACAGCTAGGGCTAGGGAAACTGGTGAAAGAACAGTAAATCTCTTTTTTTTTTAAAAATAAAATAAAATAAAAGAACAGTAAATCTCTTTTGACACATTTTATGATGAATCATTTCCTTTACTCAGTTGGAGACAGGATAGTTCAAGACAAATTTGTTTTTGGTTTAGAGTTTTTTTTTCCAAATGCAAAGATTGCAGATAGGTATTTCTACAATTTTAATGTTTTCATATTCTATATTTGCAGTCAATGTTAATTTTGTGCTTTGAGTCCAAATCTTAAATGAAATGTTTTATTGGAACCAATTTCAGGTATTTCCTTACGGTTCTGTCCCATTAAAGACCTATCTTCCGGATGGAGATATTGATTTGACCGCATTTGTTGGAAAAGATTTTGAGGATGCTTTTGCTGATGATATGGTGTCTACACTTGAAGCAGAAGATCGAAATAAGGATGCAGAATTCGCTGTAAAAGATGTTCAATTGATTCGTGCTGAGGTGCTAAATTTATTTTAGTTGTACTGTTCAATATGTTATACTATCTCCGTCCCATTTTATGTGATGGTGTGTTATCAGGCACAAAGCATCTTGCAAGACTGGTATCTGGTCTTTATGTTTGATGTTGTTGGTTTACTTTCTAAGCTTTTAGTAATGTTTTACTTATGAAAAATATCTTATTTTGAGGTGTGTCCCCCTTTTTAAGGAAAGATAAGGTTTGTTCTTGGTACTTAAATGTTGAAATTTTGAAAGTCCTGTTCTGGGAAATTAGTAAACCTTTTAGTTGGCGCGTGCAATCTCAAGCATTCGGCTTTGATTGCTAGAGGCCTAATTCTTTGATTGTGTTGCTCAAAAATGATTTTATTTCTATTATGTTCATACTGAAAAAGCTGGAAAATCTAGGTTGGCTGTTGTTGTCAGTTGTGAATTAAATAAGGTTTGTTGATACATCATTAGTCAATTAAAGCGTGCTCTTTCTAACCGCGGGATGAGATGGTCACATACTTTAACATGGTATTAGAACCGGCAGGGGTCTTTGGTTTGAGTTTCACCACATTATTAGAACGAATTTTCATATGCTTGGCCCCTGAAAAAAGAATCAGGCCCGCACATGAATGCACATGAGGGAGCGTGTTGAAAACACAATTAAGTAAATTTAAGTGTGCTCTCTAACAATTGAAGCTTTTACATGAGATGGTGACATACTTTAACAAGGTTAACTGAACTTTAGTTGTTTGTATCAATGATTGATTTAGTGAAGTATCTGAATTGTCATAATCATCAAGTTCAACTTTGATTTCCATGTTTATTCCCATGATATAACTTGTCATCATGTGAGCTGTATTTCCTGTGCTTGCATTAGGTTTATAATTTTTGCCTTTCCTTTTCTTTTCTTTTTCTATCCTTTGATCGCTCTCTCCTTTGCTTTTTCACATAACACACTGGAAACATTAAATTGCTACCTTTACTAATTTAGCTAACATCATATTTGGTGGTGGGGTAAATCAAGATCTTTTTTATGAAGAGCACCAAGACTATGTCACGTTTAGACATGAATACCTCTTAAGTTTTTGAAGTACAACCAACTAGGTATATAAAAGGGATCTTCAAACCAAAAGTACAAACGGAATAAAAGAACAATGTTGACTTTCTACACTGGTCTCTCCACTCCTAAGTTCTTGGCTGATCCTTTTTCCCTAAATTGTTTGAACCATGCAAAGAGGATTGCCTTTTGTATCTTTCCCGGACTCCATTTCTCTACCCTCCAACTAGCCACATCATCCGCCACTCTTTCAGAGGATTACCAAGTTATAAAAAAAAGGTAGTATATCAATGCCCAAAGCTCTACTGCAAATTTGCTGTGTAGTATCATGTCCTGCATATTCCCTTCATGTTACACATGCATCATGTATCTGGTGGTCCATCTGGAAGGAAAGAAACACTAGGTGCTTTGAAGGACAGAAAATTACTTGTCAGAGGATTAAAACAAACTGTATTAGTCTTCTATTTTTTTGGTGTAAACAAGATTTGGTGGGGGAGGTGGTAGAAGTAGTAGAGTTCTTAGGAAACTTGTAATCTGATAAACTGTATGGGGTGGGCCCATCACACTATGGGATGTAAGTTTCCAATTCATCATTTCTTGGATGATGAATTTTTTCTATGAATACAAAGTTACCCTTTTCTCAAAAAAAAAAAAAACCGCATGCATCTCACCAACTTTATTCTCCTGTTCCTAGCAAATTCATATCTTTAGTGTATTATTGTTAATACTAAAGCTGTGACCCCTGATGTTTTACTCTCATATGGCAGGTTAAGCTTGTAAAATGCATTGTGCAGAACATAGTTGTTGATATTTCCTTAAACCAAATAGGTGGCCTTTGTACTCTCGGCTTTCTTGAGCAGGTAGGTGTAATCTTTTCTGAAACTTATTTCTCTTTTAAATATTAGAAGGTGGTTGTTGAACTGTTGAACAATACACTCTATATGCATTGATTGTGTTGTAAACTATTACTCTGGGCATGTTGTCTTTTTGCCTGTCTTGTTCTGCTAAATGTACAACATACAAGTACTGAAAGATAGTTTTTGCAATCTTGAAAAATATGGGGCTTAATAGTTGCATTTTCAGAGTTAATTAGTTGATTTAATATGTTATTAAAATTATATCAGTTCTTTCCTATGTCACTGTTGTGGACTTTCTTTTGGTAAGTAAATATTTTATTTACCAAGTGAACATTACAAAACATCAAAACAGCAGGCTAGGACATGAAGCCCCAAATTCTGCTAAGCATCACATACTAATAACTATCCCTACGCACCTATTACATCAATACAAGGGATATTCATTGAGTTGTTGTAATCTACTACCTAATCTGTCTTGTTGGGATCCTCTTCCATGCACATCTCGTATGATATGTCTAAAATTCTGTAGTTGTGTTCCATCCTCAGGCAATAAATGGTTCCAGCCAAAGTCATCCTATACACTTGTGCTACTCTGTTCGACCTTTTCACGTGTGTGAGTGCCCACTGTACTTCTTGCCAAACGTATTGAATCACAAGAATGTTCCACCAATCCCAAGTACAGTTTTTTCAATTACCAAGGGTTTGCAGAGAATGTTCTTAGAATTCAGAAAGTGCAAAAGTACTCATTCTTGTCCTCCAATTGTATTTATACTTCAGAGAAAGTATTCATAAATTTGTCCTCGGAGCCATTTTGGCGATCTTGATTGGACTCGCCAAACCGTTCGCCGATACGCTGACTTGGGTTTTCACCTCGCTGTTTTGTTTTGTGCAATTGATTTTTCCTTCAGGCAACTATAATTTCAGGCGATGCATTTTGTCTTTGTCAAAACACTTCAGCGATACGCTGAGTGGTCTTTTCTGTTGTTGATCGTCGATGCACAGAAGTGGATTGAACTGTTACTTTCGACAAACTCCAGGCAGATTTGCGATACGCCATTAGGCGATGTCTCACTCAAAATTTGCTCATGTCTTTCCTCTTTTGCCTGCTTTTCCTTCCATATCATGTTTAAGTACTCTTAGGACACCATGATCTGAAACGTAAGGAAACATTATAAAAAAGGCATAGAATGACATTGAGGACATCATTTTCATGTGGAAGATAAACGAATTGAGTCGCTAAAACACCGACTCATCATAGGTACAACAAATAGTGTGAGAGGTGGTAGATAATACCTAAAATCTAGGGACAATCACTATAGGAGAAATACTACGACTACTAATAAGGAAGGACAAGCAAGACAACACTCTACTACCTTCTACCTCAATCCGTGTCTTCCACAACCTTCTATCTAATGTTATTTCCTCGGTAAGCTACAACTGTGTTATTTCATATTGCTTCTTTGTCCTACCTCTACCTCTCCTGAAACCATCCATAGCCAACCTCTCACACCTCCGCACTAGGGCATCTGTGCATCTCTTCTTCATATGTACGAACCACCTCAACCTCTTTCCCGTAGCTTGTTCTCCATTGATGTCACTCCTACCTTGCCCTAGATATCTTCATTTCTAATCTTTTCGCCCCTAGTAGGCCCTCACATCCACCGCAACATCCTCATCTTCTGAACGTGAGAGTACTTGATTGACCAACACTCCATCCCATACAACATAGTTGGTCTAACCACCACTTTTTAGAACTTCCATTTAAGTTTTGGTGGCACCTTCTTATCACATAATACTCTAGATGCGAACCTCTATTTGATCCACCATGCACCAATACGATGTGTGATATCATCGTCAAATTTCCCATTTCATTGGATAATAGACCCAAGATACTTGAAGTTTGGATGCCATGTGAATCAAGACTTACTTCCACGTCAACATCAGGCGTTAGGCGTTACGTCACTGAACTTGCATTCAAAATATTCTATTTTGGTCGTACTCAACCTGAAACCTTTAGACTCCAGACTCTGTCTCCAAACACCAATTTAGCGTAAACTCCACCACAGGTCTCATCATCAGCACTATGTCATCTATAAATAACATACACCATGGCACCTCACCTTAAATATTTCGTGTCAATTGATCTATCACCAAAGCAAGCAAAAACGAGCTAAGAGTTGATCCTTATTGCAACCTCATCACAACTGAAAAATGCTCTGAGTCTCTTCCAGTGTTCTTACCTAATGTTTCTAGAAAATAGACACACCCCTCCTCACTCTCAACTCCACCACCCTCTCCCAAACTTTTATAGTGTGACTTAGTAGGTTTATACCCCTATAGTTGTTGCAACTATGAATGTCACCCTTGTTCTTGTACAACGGAATCATTGTAATCCACTTCCACTCCTTCGACATTTTCGCCATCTTAAAAACTTTATTAAACAATGTAGTTAACCACTCCATACATCATCCATACATAACAAATTGATGTGGTATATTCATATCATAATATATGGTCGCGATCCCGCAACGGTGAGCTAACCCCAAAAACCCATCATGGTTTCGTAGGAGCAAGTCAGAAAGATTGAGAAATAGAACCATCTGATTTCATTAGTTCTCAATAGCCACGTCAAACTCTGAATACTAGATACATGCCCTGCCTCTGCTCCTCCAAAATTCTACTGGTATCTCATCTGGCCTGGTCGCTCTTCCCCTGCGCATCCTACTAATAACACCTTTAACCTCATCTACTTTTATACACATACAATACCCAAAATCACGATGCCTCTTTGAGTGCTTTATCTCCCCAGCATGATGTCTCTCCCCCCTCTTCGTTTTAGAGTTTATGGAAGTACGACTTTCATCTCTGTCAAATGAGCTTAGTTGGGCAGACTCTTCACTTTTGATGCCGCAGCTGTGTTGGATTCTCCAAAAATACACTACTTTTGGTGAATCCGACACACACCCGTTGACATTTTTGAAGAGTCCGAGCAACATAGCTAATGAGCGTCTCCTTCAACAGTAGCCAGTTTTGCCCTACCTCTAGCATTGCCATAGTCAAATCTTGGGAGCTCAATTTAAACAAACTATTTCAAGGTTTAAAATGATTATAAATTGATGAAACCATGACTACTGGAATTGAAAAGATGTTGATGTTCTGATAACCCGAAGCTTTGTTCTTTTCTTGATCATTCTTCTGGAAGGCGTCAGGGGTGGTGGCTGGGGTTGGAATGAGAAAGAGGAGAATGAGATTACTCTGGATCAACTTTTGTTTTTGTAAATGTCTTTGATCATTTAGTTTGTGACATTGGAAGCGAACTTATTCACTTATTGGGTTCTGCTTACTTTACAGGTTGATCGCCTCATTGGAAAAGATCATCTATTTAAGCGCAGCATTATCTTGATAAAAACTTGGTGCTATTATGAAAGCCGTCTTCTTGGTGCTCATCACGGCTTGTTTTCTACTTATGCCTTAGAAACTTTGGTTCTGTACATCTTTCATTTTTTTCATACAACACTAGATGGTCCCTTAGCCGTGAGTTCTCCTGGCATAACTGATGATATTTCAGGTTTCAATTTGATATTGGTGAGCCTAATGACTGATATGGTGAATTCTAGGTTCTATATAAATTTTTGGACTACTTCGGCAAGTTCGATTGGGATAACTATTATGTTAGTCTAACTGGGCCTGTTCGCATATCCTCTTTACCGGAATATGTTGGTAAGAAACATGTTCTGGCTGCAGTTTGTCCTGATCCTGTCACCTTTTGTTTGGTTCCAATGATTTTGTTTCCTATCATGCAGTTGAGGTGCCTGAAAATGATGGTGGTGATGTACTGCTCAGCAATGATTTCATTAGATATTGTCTTGAAAGGTTTTCAGTGCCTTCTAAAGGCGGTGATTTAAATTCCCGGAAAATTCAGCACAAGTATCTTAACATAATTGATCCTCTAAAGGAAAGTAATAATCTTGGTCGAAGTGTCAGTAAAGGTATAATGTCTCCTAAACTTAATTCTCTATCCTCTTTGATACTACCATATAATGCTCATGATAATCAATGTATTTTATGCTGGTATCATAAACCATTGGACATGTGGTATTTCATAGTTGTCGGGGCAGGGTTAAAAGGATTCAAATTAGGTTTAATTTAATCAGACTTTTTGCACACATAATGTGGTTTTGCATCATAGTCAAACCAGATTATACCCAGTGGGTTCAGATTATTCTTTTTGCCAATTGAGAATGAAAAACTATAATCAGATAATTCCTAGTATTTCCTGATTATGACATTTCAACAACTAGCTCAGAGAAAAGGATAGGTTTGGTTGTGGAAGCGACTTTGGACATTGAACCAGTAAGTCATACAAGACCTTGTTTTCCTTGTCCATTGAGTGATATGCTCTATCATGTCTATCTGCTATGCAGGGAATTTCTACCGGATACGAAGTGCCATCAATTATGGGGCTAGAAAGCTGGAAAGCATTCTTCTACAATCCGAAGATAATATTGTGGAGGAACTTTATAGGTTTTTCCCTAATACTATGGATCGGCATGATAGTGGAGAGAGGCCTGATGTTCAAGATCCGAGCAATGACTTCTGTCTTGCCTCTCCTGCCTCTCCTGCTCCAAATTTTGATCCATCACAAATAGAGCAGGGAAAATCTGAATTAAGTTTTGCCAGTGATGGTGGAACACATGGAATTTGTAAGCTCAATCCTGATGGATCTTCTTGCAGAGAAGATGGACATCAGAAAGGCACTACAGAGGCACATCAATCTATGCTGCCGTTGATGGCAGAGAGGCATGGAACGGGAAGCCCGTTGGGTTACCGTCTTTTTGGTGATGCAGTAGATCTTGCTAGCTCCATTGAGAATGGCCTTTCAATATCTACAGATAGGCCTGAATTTGGTGATTCAAGTAGCAAAAAGTGCCAATTAACTCGGGGTATGCCTCATCATGCACCTCATCTATTTTTTGCTGACTCCCATGTGTACAATAGGGAGATGAAAAATGAGATTTCCCATATGAAACAGTTTGGCAACTCTGAGAAGAATGTTTCATCTGGGTCATCGCCGCCTACTAATGAGGGAAAGAATTTTACTGTCCATGGTTTGAAGCAGACTGTTTTGGATGTTAAGGAAGCTATCTCTTCTATTCCAAACTCTGGAGGTGATCATTTGAACTGGGATTTGGCATCAACAAGTGGTGCTGAACTTTCTTTGAAAGCTTTATCTGATCTAAGTGGGGACTATGATAATTACCTCAAGTATTTGCAGTATGGGCACTGGTTTTATGAATATGCCTTGAATATTCCTGCTCTGCCTGTACCTCAAGCACCACCATCTCCATATCACATGAAGTACTCATGGGAAGCTGCTCAGCAGCCGTCATATATGAAAACAAATGGGTTTTCTCATGGGAGTACAAATGGTGTTATCCCAAGTCAAGCATTTTACCCCATAAATCCAATGTTAATGCATAGTATGCCTTATGCTGCCTTGGAAGAGATGCCAAAGCAACGGGGAACTGGGACATACTTCCCGAATTTGGTATACTCATGTTCAACCTGTTGTTTATTGGCATTTTAAATGTATGGGGCTGACATGCAATAGTCATTGCACATGTGGGTGTCAGTCCCATGCATACATTTCTTTCTGTTGTGAGCTAAAATATCTTCCTTGTTTGGTAAGTTCTTTATGGCTTAAATTTTGCAGAATCATCCTCCACATGGTTATAGGCCATCAATAGTGAAGGGTAGACATCAGGCAGGATTGAGCTCTCCCAGAACTAATGGCCGGGCAACTTTCACGGAGATGCACACATTTGAGAGAAGTTTCCATGAGCAGCTGCAATCTGAATCTTCTGCTGATCAAAGTAATGTCCACCCTTTATCATCCTCTCATAGGAGGGGACACCATAGCATGACAGGTATGGTTTTACCGACCGAGGGAATGGTTGAATTTGGTTCTGTTGGTGTGCTGCCTTTGGGAACAAGCATTTCCGAAAGGAGTAGGCAACAAAGAGCTGTTTCTTCTCCTACTCAACAGTGCAGCCCTGTATCTCCAATACCAGCATTTCAGAGGTCAAATTCTGTTTTTAGTAAGGAACTTGATAGGTATGAGCGACTTTGATTAGTAGTAACTCCTACAGTATTCAATCACAAAACTCCTAAGCTTGCTTTTACACATTCAGGGTTACCCTCAAGTCATCATACCATCTAAAAGATGAAGATGATTTCCCTCCTTTGTCTTTCTGAATGTGGGTTCTGGAGATGCTCCTGGTGTTCTGCTAGAAAAGAAGTATGATCTGGGCATTTCTGCCTCATAGTCGTTGTGATTTCAAATACATGATGTACCATTAGTTTTTTAATGTGTAACTTTGTTCAAGGTGTTTGTACAATATTACAGATGATGTGTTTATGTGTGTTGCAATTGTATAGGATGTTAAAATCATAGAAGTTCTTTTATGAAGCTGTGCTCATGATTATAAGTTGTAGGCTTGTCATAAGATGACTTTTGGTTAAGTGCATCATTTGTAACAACAGGTAGGGAGTGAATGGAGATGTTGGAATGAAAACATCCTTTAGTTATTCCGGTTTTAGAAGATTGCTTCTATGTCAAAAATCATGAAGCTTGAAGACATATTCTCTCTTTGATTTTACAGCCTCTGAGACTCCATAGCATGGAAATTTTCCCTTCCAACTGAGGTTCATTTTCTAAATTATCTATAATTGGTAATTAAGCTACAAGTAATAGTTTCCAACAATCACTTTTTTAGGTTGAATCTCAACTTTCATACCATTCAAAATAACGTTTGCAAATCTTAGTTTATTTTGTTCATTCACTGGCCACTTCGAACCATGTTGAGTTTTCAAAACATGCTATAAGTCTCAGAAATAAGCTTTTAAGCATCTTTAAAAATGTCTATTGATGGAGTCAACGCGTTATCAATTCGACACTGTCATTTTTTATTTTTTTTGGTAAGGAGACTCAGCATATCTAACATTATCAAAGGAATATAGTTAGAGGAAGTAGTAACGGTGGTCTCACGAGCAACAACGTTTGGATTTGGAATTTGAGATGTGTAGTAGTAGCAGTGGTAGCTGCAGACGTATGGTAAAGTAATATATAATTGTGGTTTAGTTCATGCAAATATTAAGGTAAGTAACAGATGCAAGTCAATTTTTGAATTATGACTTTAAGTTGAAGGACATTTGATACCTTAGAACATATTGTTAAGTGGTTAAATTTAATGGTACTTCATAAAATCTAAAAAAAATAACTGCTTTAAAAGCTGATAATTCTCTCAAAGATGTGTTAAAGAAAATTTTTCTACCTTGTATATATATATATTTTTATTTACTTTTAAAGTAGTAAATCTGAAGTTTACTTTTAAAATAGTAAACTTGAATTTATTATTCTAGACTAGATATATTGGGTAAAATCAGTCTACTTTGGGTGTTTGATGCGATGAGTCTGACATACACCATCAAAGATTAAACTCAAGTATTAAACCAAGATTTTATGAGACAATGATATTCCTTCACACCTTAATGAGGAATTGAAATTAGAATATCTAAGGTTCCCTTATGATGTGGATTAATTTGAAAGATAACTATGACCACGTGAAGATGACCGTTCTTCCACAAGAACGTTTCCATTGGATAAATTTAAGGTTGCATGATTTTAAATCTTTCTACGAGTATAATTCTTTAATGTTAGAAATTATTTCACTGTTGAGATCATATGGTGAAACTATAACTGATGGTAATATGTTGAAGAAAACTTTTATCACTTCTCATGCCTTGAATGTGCTCTTGCAATAGTAATATCGAGATATAGTGTTAAAAAATATTCCGAGCTGATTTCACAACTTTTTGTGGCTGAACAAAATAATAAGTTGTTAATGAAAATTCATGAAAGCCGACCTGGTGATTCTCTGAAGTAAATGAGATGAACTTCCACCAAGCTTAGCGTGGGAAAGGTCGTGACCATGCTCGATAGAAAAAACAAATTCTCTATATTACTATACATGCATCAATTTGCTCTTGAAGTAACAATATCTTAAAAGAAATTCTAAACTATCATAATTTGTGATATTCTACACTATCTACATTTTAGTTAATTAATTAAAATCATTGTGTCAGTGAAACATGTTGGCTTACGTGTCTTAACAAAACAGTATTTTTATGTACTTCACTTTTATATTCATATTATAAATTGTGATAAATTCAAATCTTATTAAATTGAAATAAATGTGAACTTGTCTGATGAATCCTCACGTATGGTGTTTTGTATTTGTCTAGATTGATGATCTTTTTTTCCTAAATTTGGAACTTCCTAAAAGGTTTTATATTCATAATTACCTACAAAATGAAAAACCAACTTAGCAAAAAAAAAAACCCAGCAAGAGTATTTCCCTCCCTTAAGAAATGTTGTACTCTTACTGATAACACCTCACTTAGCCTGTTGATGGAGTCGACCACCATTGTTACACTCCCATAAATCTCCCAAACACCATTAAGAATATGAACCATAGCCAAAGAGTCAGATTCTAGAGTGGCGTGTAAGAAATTATTCTCCCCGCAATATTGTAAACCTTCTCTTATAGCCACTATACCTCAGTTACTAGACTTGTAGATTCTGCTAATTTCAAACCCTTAGCACCCACTAGATCTCCTTCATAGTTTTTAACACAAAATATTTCTGCACTAGATCCTGGATTACCTCTAGAGGCCCCATCAGTATTGCATTTCCACAAACCACAAGGTGGGGGAAACCATTTAACCACTTTATACTGAAACCATGGCCTGTAACCATAAAGGAGTGCTACCATGTGAAGCCAAGAGTTAGGGACTGTTGTATAATAATCAGATTGTGAACAATATAATTAATATCCCCAATAACTTTATCTCTAGAATAAGATTCTCCGTGCAACACCGTGTTCCTCCTCTTCCATAAAAATCACATAATAATGTTAGGAATGGCTTGATATATCAACTTTTGTCTAGCATTCCCGAAAAACTCCTAATACATAATATCTATAAAAAGACTTGGTTCTTCAATGTGTTTCTTCAATACTTACTAGTGCTATGAAGTTAATATACCAATTGCCTTTCTCTCTCTGAGTGTGTTAATATTCTGAATGACTTCGCTTTTATTTAAGTACAACTCTTCAAAGAATTGTTCTTCACCTCAACCTCCTCATCAACTCAAACTCTCTTGGCTTAGAGTTCTACTTCAAGTGAGAGTCCTTCTTCAAAACAATCTCCTTACTTCATTGTTATTGGAGTCAAACTACAACTCTTCAATTCACTGTCTGCTTGTTTCCTTTGAGTGTATCATAATTAATCATTATGCACTCCTTGATTTTTGCATTTTTATCTTCATTCTTGCCTTTATTTATTTTATGAATTTGCCCCGAGTAAACTACTCAAGGCAGTGTATATTTGGACTAGATTGACAGACACGTTTCATCCTTCTTTATCAATCATCAAAACTACATAGATCTAACGAATTCACCAATGAGTTCCAAATGCCTTGGGTAATGAGTTCAAGTAAAGTTTTTTCGATTCAAAGCTCATTTTTGGAATTGGATTTTTGAGTTTTTTTGACCCATTTTTCAAAGTGTTTGACTTTGGTGTTGTTAATTTCGGGTTCTTATTGTAATTACTTGATTGAATTAGATTGTGTGGCTTTGGACATGTTCGTAAAGGAAATGCTCAAATCTTGATCGTCTTTGATTGAAATTGAGGCAAGTGATTTTCTAAACTTCGTAAATCTAGTTGATTCACGTATTTCCTTGTATTATGTGTGTTGGGGAGTAATGAGAATGAGGTGAGGGGTTCATTGCTTCACTTGCTTAATATTAATGAATAAAGAAAGGGGTTCAATAAAAGGCAACATGTTGATTATGATACTTTGTGAAATTGCCTTGTTGTGAACCCTAATATGATTATTGATGAAATGCTTTGATGGTATTATTATGGAATTGATTTGCTTAAGTTATTAACTCTTCCTTGTGGTGTGAAATTACTTACTTGCATTGATTTCTGAGCACCGTGATAAGGCTTCTGATGATTATTGATATCGAGGTCATTACGAACGAGTGTTATTGATGTTGAGGTCATTGTTGGCGAGTGTTATTGATGCCGATGTCAGTTCCAACGAGTGATATTCATGTCAAGGTCATTTTCGGTGAGTGCTATTGATGCCGAGGTCTGACGAGTTCATAAACTATGGGCGGTTCCCATGAGTTTCGATTGATTTTGTGCGAGATAGATCTGTGGATTTGTATTCAATGTGCTTGATTGTTGTGCTTTAATGGTCTTGCTACTTGTGATTGACCTATTTGACATTTGTGTTTGTCATGCTTGTTACTTGATGATTGTTGAATTGTGATTATTGGACTAGGATCATGAAAACTTGTGAGATGTATACTATGAATTGTTCGGTTGGGCCGATCTTTATGCATGCTGTAGTTTGAGGAGGTTCGATTGGGATGAAGCGGTGCTCGTTTCAAACTAGTTTGGTTATATTAGTGAGAATATTTTGTGTAAATAGTGTGTACCTCGGATGGTTCAGTTTATCACATGTTGCTAAATGGGCGTGTGTTTGAATCTAGGCAGCATTATTTTTTCAAAAAATATTTATTTTAGGAGGAGCTTTAATTGTTTACTGATAAAAAAAATGAAAATAAAAATTAAATAAATAAATAATTGTTTACTGATATTTTTCTTTTCTTCTTTTGATATTCTATATATATATTTATATAAAATATTTAACACTATTATTTCTAATGAGATTATTTTCAAAATAAAAATTTATTGAAAAAAAGTTTAAATATTTTTTATTTTACTTTTTGGAAAACTGCTTGCAAAAAGTCCTGCATACGCCACTCAAATATCAAATATGTATATAATTAGTATATTTTATGAATATTCAAAAATCGTCTCAAAAAAGATTTTGTTTCACTCAAATATTTTGTTAAATTAGTATTAGTTAGTTAGTAGATTATATTTTGTTAAATTAGTACTATTAGTTAGGCCCAAAGACCACTGTTTATCTGTTATATACAAACGGTAGAATGCCACATAAAGACCGCCACGTCATCCATTTTAAAATTATTCTAATAATCACATTTTTTTTTCACCCCAAAGGACCGTTACAACTTACAAAACTCTGTTCTCTTCTTCACTACCGAATATTCTCACACACGCTCTTCTCATGGGTCTTTCTCTCTTTTGCAGAACCTTCAATTTCTCTAAAATGGTGAATTTCCCAATTCCCCTCTCAATTTTAATTCTCCTTGGATAAAAGAAATCAAGGTTTTTTGTGTGTATGTATGCAACAGACAATGGCGAAGATGAATAAAATTGCTGAGAAACAAGAGGGAGGTGGTTGTGAGGTAAATGAGTAGAGACGTTGGTATGCTTCTTGATTCCTGTCCGGATGCCACTGCTCGTATTCAGGTACTTTTTCCTCTGACTTAGGGTTAGGGGATTAGTTGATTGATTGATTATTTGAATAATTTATATGTAACATCGAAATCAACTCGTACTAATGGGAATTTGGTTTATCAGTTTATGGATCATTTACCTTGAAACATAGAATTTTGCTTTGCTTGAAGATTATAGCTTGCAATTGCTCACTGTCACAACAAGGGTGTTTATAACCAAGATCGCTGATTGGAATATCTTAACCTTTTAACTATTGTTCCAGCCTGAAAATTTGTGTATTAACCACTGAATTAGGGTACTTTTTCCCATTTTTCGTATTTAACCTCTGACTTTGGGTTGGGGGCTTAATTGATTGATTGGTTAATTGAATAATTTAATCAACTCGTAGGAATGGGGAATTTGGTATATGATGCCTGGTGGTCAACTCTCTCCTGTTACTCATAATTTAATCAATAGTTCTTATGAGTGCATTCTTCTTGTTTTGTACATGCAACCCGTCATTCTTCATTTGATTGGCCTGCTATCCTCCCTAAACCTTTTTCTCATTTATACTTTAGATTGCGAGCTAAGAGGCAAATATGTACTTTTCTCTCCTAATACTGCTTAGAATAGTATGAAACAGTTGTTATAAGTTATTTTTTTCTGTTATATGTGTTGGGAAAACACGGACAAGCACAAAAATATATATGGTAAAAAGTAATGGAAAATAAAAATGGGAAATAATGACACCAAGAATTTTACGTGGAAACCCTTCTAAATAAGGGAAAAACCACGGGCCAAGAGGAGCAACTGATATTACTATAGTAAGGAATTTTACACTGTAGTCACGAGTACAATACTCAAAATGACTACCACACACTCAAAAGGAATAACACTCTTTTGGTTTCCACCTTACTAAAATATCGCTCACACTCTATTTTTCTTCACAGACTATTTTTCTTGTATAGCCTATGGAAACCTCACAGCTCTCTAAATTTTTTACTCTCTCTGTGAATTGGTGTATCAAATGAGGAGCTGAAGAGCTCCTTTTATAGAAGAAATCAACAACACAGTTTCAACATCCACCGATATGTTTCTCAACTTTTGCTGCCAACCATTGACAATTGCATGCAGCAATTGTTGAATAACTTTAATTGAATAATGGCAGCAAATGTTGAATAAACCAACAATTTGACTAATGGGGCTGGACCCCACAAATCTCCCCCTCCAGTCCCATTCACTGGAAGGAGGTATCTTCATCTTCTTTAGAGAGAGCTCATACCCACAAGTTCTTTGCATAACTCGAACTTGTCTTTCGGTATCGTCTTGGTCAGCATATCTGCAGGATTTTCACTTGTGTGGATCTTTTTGACGTGAAATGATTCACTTTCCACTTCCTCACGAATCCAATGATATACCTTACTAAAATATCGCTCACACTCTATTTTTCTTCACAGACTATTTTTCTTGTATAGCCTATGGAAACCTCACAGCTCTCTAAATTTTTTACTCTCTCTGTGAATTGGTGTATCAAATGAGGAGCTGAAGAGCTCCTTTTATAGAAGAAATCAACAGCACAGTTTCAACATCCACCGATATGTTTCTCAACTTTTGCTGCCAACCATTGACAATTGCATGCAGCAATTGTTGAATAACTTTAATTGAATAATGGCAGCAAATGTTGAATAAACCAACAATTTGACTAATGGGGCTGGACCCCACAATATGAACGGGTTAGACATCTTTTTCTGCACTGTGATATGTGAACTTGCGAAGAGATGATTTCTCTTCAATGCCTTTGAACATTGCGGAGAGAGTCAAGTAGGAGTTTGTTTAATTGGAAAAGGAAAGGGTGTGTGTTTTGTTACTAGTACAATGTTTTAGCTTTTTTCCATTTAACTTGTGGACTAGATATTATGCCTGTTATTCTCCTGGTTGCTGAATTCCTGCTATTTGAAAAAAAAAGCAGAAATGATCAAATGGAACGTTCATTGGCAGGACTGATCTTTTCAGTACTTCTCGCTTCTTTTTGTTTCCTCGACTTATGAGCTCTGTAGCTTTTCGCAGCAATGCCTGATTTTGTCTTGTGACATAAGCTAGAAACATGAATATATTTTCTGCTATATATTTATCTTTACCTCTGTGGTTCTGTATATTACAATATACATCTGTTGTCTGTATTTTTCATATCTCTTGACCAAATAATGTTTCGTTAATTTAATTTCAGGAATCAAATCGAAATAATCTCAAAGATTTTATGAGTCTTGCTAATGGTTTGATGGTCACACATTTCCTCATATTGCAGAAACTGACTCTGCATCATACTTGAGGGTTGCCAAAATGAAACACTGTCCAACTTTAACATTTAAAATACATAAATATTCGTTGGCTGCTGAGATTGTTCAATCTCAACTCCGTCCAAGATGCCCTTTGGATCATTTCAAGAACCCACCGTTGGTAATCTTTTCTGCTGAATCTTACATGACTACTTCACACTTCCTGACATGTAGATGCACCTATAAGAACATACTCATGTTGGCATTTTATAAAGTTGGTTGTCTTGTCTTAGCATTATCTTTTTTTCTCTGCCTGGTCAGCTGAGCTCCAGAATTATGCTTGCAGATTGTGCTATCTGGTTTTGGGACAAGGGAAGAACACCTAAAGCTCACTACGTTTATATTCCAGAACATTTTTCCTGCCATTGACATAAATACAGTGAGTGAGAACCATACATAAATTTCTATTCTAGCCACAGTTTGTTTCACCAGTTGTTAATGGAAAATTGTTACACATTGCAGGTCAAGTTCTCTTCATGCCAAAGGATTGTATTACTTAATTACGACAAAGAAACAAATCTTATTGATGGCACTACTCTATCAGATTACAGCCAGTGGGTGTTTCTCGCTGAATCAGGAAATTTGTGCAAAACCATCAAGTGCCTGATCTAAGAAGTCTTCAAGATGTTAGTGACTTTGTAACCAAGTACGTGCCTATGTCTCTCAGTGCTGCTATGGCTTTTTGATTTCATTCGATGCGATTATAGTTTTCCTTCATTAATCTGGTTGATTTATTATCATTTTTTTCATAGTGAATTAAACCTTTCTATTTATTATCAGCCAAAGAGCTGGTCTAGAGTTAGTATAACTATCTGCATTTGTTATCCTTCTGGAATCAGGTTGTGTGGAACTGAGATCGTTGAATTACTGCAGAGATTCTATTCTTACTTCTTCCTTATTTCCTAACGGCTACTACCTTTCCAAACCCTGTTACAATTTGGATTAATAGCAAGTGTACCCTTAGAAGAATTTTGTCCGCTGTATCAATCCATAAACCCTATTTTATTCTATCTCCCACCTGCTACTCACTCTCCTCACCTTTGCAAACATATCCATTTCCATTACTATTATATAAGTGATTGATTGATTAATTGAATAATTTATATGTAACCTCAAAATTAACTCGTAGGAATGGGGAATTCGGTATATCATACCTGGTGGTTAGCTCTCTCTTGTTTTTATTGCTTATGGATCATTTAGCTTGAAACATAGAATTTTGCTTTGCTTCAAACATAGCCTACACCTCGCCTCCCCAAAAAACTTTCAACAACTCATTGATGCGTTTGCTCACTGTCACAGCAATACCACTGAGATCTGAAGTTTTGCAATTGCTGATTGGTAAATCTGCTGTGAACATTATCTATCTTAATTTTTTAACTATTGCTCCATGTTCCCCCACCTGAAAATTTGCTTCTTGATTTCCAAGGGAACTTAAAAGTTTCCGACTTTGGGCAATTTACTCAAATCTCTAACAGGGAGTCAGGGCCGACTATACCACTTGTGGGACTCCAAATTATGTTGCACTTACGAGATATGATGCATATGTAGTTTGAATCATTCAGTTACTTCTTAATAGTTCTTATGAGTGCATGCTTCTTGTTTTGTACATGCAACTCATCATTCTTCATTTGATTGGCCTGCTATATCCCCAAAATCCTTTTCTCATTTATATTTTAGATTGCGAGTTAAGAGGCAAAAAATATACTTTTCTCTCCTTTTACTGCTTAGAATAGTATGAAACAGTTGTTATAAGTTATTTTCCTTAAGTAGCTCTATTATTTTCCCATTCCTGAGTTTTATCTGCAAGGAGCTTGAATCAAAAAGAAGCTAAGCAGAGGGGTGGTTGTGTCTTCATTTTAATTCATTGATCCCTTTTACCTAGCATGATCAGTTGATTTTTTTAGTTTGATTGCGCTCGTTCCTTGATTTTTATAAGTGTTCCTTTCCTCATCTCATTTTTCTTGATTAATTTGTGAAACTTCTTGATAATACTCAGAACCATGTACATGCAGAGGATCAAGATTGATAGGATAAAACGAGACCCCTTGGTTCACCATTGTGAAAGTTTTGAATTACTCTCTACCCAACTCTGTTTTTGTTTTTGTCTTCTTTTTGTTATGAATCTACCCAACAGAGAGTGCCTCGAGGCCGGGGGGCGGGGATGGGGGCCTTATGGCACGAAGTGTGCCTTGAGGATGGAGGCGGGGAGGGGCCCTCAGGGAATGGAGTTTGCCTCGAGACCGGGGGCGGGGAGTGGGACTCAGGCATAGAGTGTGCCTCGAGGGGTGGCGGGGTTCTCAAGGTACGGAGTGTGCCTCGAAGGCGGGGGGAGGGATGGGGGGGTCCTTGGGGTACGACGTATGCCACAGGGTCGAGGAAGGGGTGGGGGGTCCTCGTTGCTTGGAGTGTGCCTCGAGGTCGATGGGTGGGGGGTGGTGTCCTCGGGGAACGACGTGTTCCTCGAGGCTGAAGGGAGGGGTAGGGGTTCCTCGGGGAATAAAGTGTACCTCGAGGCCAGGGGTTGGGGGAACCTCAGAGCACAGAGTGTGCCTCGAGGTCAGGGGTGGGAAGCACCTCGGGACACGGAGTGTGCCTCGAGGGGTGGCGGGGTTCTCAAGGTACGGAGTGTGCCTCGAAGGCGGGGGGAGGGATGGGGGGTCCTCGGGGAACGGAGTGGGCCTCGAAGGCGGGGGGAGGGATGGGGGGGTCCTTGGGGTACGACGTATGCCTCAAGGTCGAGGAAGGGGTGGGGGGTCCTCGAGGTATGGAGTGTGCCTCGAAGCAGGGGGAGGGATGGGGGGGTCCTTGGGGTACGACGTATGCCTCAAGGTCGAGGAAGGGGTGGGGGGTCCTCGAGGTATGGAGTGTGCCTCGAAGCAGGGGGAGGGATGGGGGGTCCTCGGGGAACGGAGTGGGCCTCGAAGGCGGGGGGAGGGATGGGGGGGTCCTTGGGGTACGACGTATGCCACAGGGTCGAGGAAGGGGTGGGGGGTCCTCGAGGTATGGAGTGTGCCTCGAAGCAGGGGGAGGGATGGGGGGTCCTCGGGGAACGGAGTGTGCCTTGAGGCCGAGAGGTGGGGGCGAGTCCTTGGGGAATGGAGTGTGCCTTGAGGGGTGAGGGTTCCTCGGGGAACGGAGTGGGCCTCGAAGGCGGGGGGAGGGATGGGGGGGTCCTTGGGGTACGACGTATGCCTCAAGGTCGAGGAAGGGGTGGGGGGTCCTCGTTGCTTGGAGTGTGCCTCGAGGTCAGGGGTGGGAAGCACCTCGGGACACGGAGTGTGCCTCGAGACTGGGGGGAGGGATGGGGGGGTCCTTGGGGTACGACGTATGCCTCAAGGTCGAGGAAGGGGTGGGGGGTCCTCGTTGCACGGAGTGTGCGTCGAGGGATGGGGGGTTCTCGGGGTACAGAGTGTGCCTCGAGGCCGGGGGCGGGGAGGGGGCCACAGGGAAAGGAGTTTGCCTCGAGACCGGGGGCGGGGAGTGGGACTCAGGCATAGAGTGTGCCTCGAGGGGTGGCGGGGTTCTCAAGGTACGGAGTGTGCCTCGAAGGCGGGGGGAGGGATGGGGGGGTCCTTGGGGTACGACGTATGCCTCAAGGTCGAGGAAGGGGTGGGGGGTCCTCGAGGTATGGAGTGTGCCTCGAAGCTGCGGAGAGGGTGGGGGGTTCTCGAGGAACAGAGTTTGCCTCATGGACAGGTGGAGAGGTGGGGGGTCCTCGTTGCACGGAGTGTGCGTCGAGGGATGGGGGGTTCTCGGGGTACAGAGTGTGCCTCGAGGTCAGGGGTGGGAAGCACCTCGGGACACGGAGTGTGCCTCGAGACTGGGGGGAGGGATGGGGGGGTCCTTGGGGTACGACGTATGCCACAGGGTCGAGGAAGGGGTGGGGGGTCCTCGAGGTATGGAGTGTGCCTCGAAGCAGGGGGAGGGATGGGGGGTCCTCGGGGAACGGAGTGGGCCTCGAAGGCGGGGGGAGGGATGGGGGGTCCTCGGGGAACGGAGTGGGCCTCGAAGGCGGGGGGAGGGATGGGGGGTCCTCGGGGAACGGAGTGTGCCTCGAGGTCAGGGGTGGGAAGCACCTCGGGACACGGAGTGTGCCTCGAGGCCGGGGGAGGGGGACTTTAGGGCACAAAGAATTATGAAATATATGACACTATGGATGAAGAAACAAAGAGTTACATAGAGCAAAGTGAACAAGAGATAGAGATATACAATAGTATACTAACATAACATATCAACAATTATACATGATCACATATATCGAAAAACTAGATCTGAAAAATATACAACAATGGAAAGATCTGAAAACCAAAAACTAAAGGTAACCAGAAGAAAATCTGGAAAATAATTTGGTAAGATAGAACCTGAAACTTAAAGAGGAAATCATATGTACTTCAACGGAGAAAAAAGAATAATTCCGGCCAATTTGTTGCTTCTTGGTCATTGGAATCTTGTTGTTTGTCGTTGGGTGGCAAGTCGATGGTGGCCTATAGGTAGAACAAAGGGGAATTGAAAATGATGGCACATTCACCGGAGAAATGTGGTGGAGTGTGCAACAGAGGAACCTTAGAAGATCAGTGACAAGAGAGCACAATCTTTTCTTTGAATTCACAAAGGGAGTGGAATTGAGATGCAAAACTGGAAATGTGTTGTTGCCTCCATATATACATATAGGGAAAACAACTTATTACATATTTTCTCAATATAAGGAAGGTTTACGTGTTGATGCTTGATACAATACTTTATTTATTACAACTTGCTTACCAGATTTTGTACCTCAAGCATCAATACGTTAACCTTCCTTACATTGAGAAAATATGTAATAAGTTGTTTTCCCTCTCTGTATATATAGAGCAACAATATATTCCCATTTTTGCATCTTAATTCCACTCCCTTAGTGAATTCAAAGAAAATATCTTTCTCCCTCGTCACCGATCTTCTAGGGTTTCTCTGTTACACACGCCACTACACTTCTCCAACGAATTCACGATCATTTTCAATTCCCCCTTTTTCTACCCATAAGACACCATCGGCTTGCCGCCCAACGACAAACAACAAGATTCTAGCAATAAAGAAGCAACAAATTTGGCTGGAATTATTTTTTTTTCTCCGTTGAAGTGCATACAATCTCCTCTTCAAGTTCTAGGTTCTATCTGGCCAAATTATTTTCCAAATTTGCTTCAGGTTACCTTTAGTTTTTGGTTTTCAGATCATTCCAATTTTGTATATTTTTCGGATTTAGTTTTTCGATATATGATTCATGTATAATTGCTAATTTGTTATGTTAGTATACTAATGTGTATCTTTTTCTCTTGTTCACTTTTCTCTATGTGACTCTCTGCCTTTTCATCCATAGAGTCATAAATTGCATAATTCTTGTTGTTTCTAGAGCTAGTTACTTTTGTTACCTATTATATTATTATTTTCTCTTCTTAAATTTTTGTTATCGTTAATTGGTCCTAAGACTCTCTGCTTGATTCAATAGTTTAGTAGATTCATGTTTCATTACATCTTTTTTAGTTCACATCTCCCTAGTGGCTCTTGAGAATGATGCTAGACTGCGGTCATATCTTTGGTTGAGGCCGGGGGAGAGGGGAAGTATGGGTAAGGGGGTTACAGGTTCTCCTAAGTTTAGAGTAGGGTCATGGAACATGATGTGGATCCTATAAGCTAATGTTCAAAGCACTAAGGAGCATGACCTGCCTGATCAGACAATTGACCCCTTAAAACCTACAATGAGACGTAGTTCTAGAACTTAGGGATTTTTACTTAAGGTATCAGTCCTAAATTGACGGATGAGCCTATTACGACCAAAAGTATTCCCAAGACGTGACATGGTGTATCAGACCCCGGAAGGCCCTACACAAGACACTTGACATACATAAGGCATAATTAACTACAACAAAAGAGAGAATATGTAAAATCATCTTATATCATAAAAGAAAGTTTAGAACATAAAAGCGGAATCATAACTATGTCTTGACAAGATATTCTAAACCAACACAAGAGTGGTTGAGACGTAAACCATACACCACGTACAACGTTTCAAAGAAAAGCAACAAAATCAATAAGCTAGAGTTTGGCCATAGATTTCCAAATATTCTTGGCAAATATTATTTGGGTGAAAATTTGGGTGGGTGAAATTTCACCATGTGTTTGGCCATAGTATTTGGGAAACATATTTCACTTTTAAAAAAATATATGATTTATACCCATAAGTTTTAAAAACTATCAAAACTAACTATAAGTTTGTATTACAAGTCAATTGGATCTTCGTTGCAACAAATAACAAGTAGTGTCCATGACACTAGAGCAATGTGGTAGTTTGGAGTGAGTGCAACAAGCATCATTCCATATATCGTGAAGTAGACAAAGCACATAACTTTGTTACTCTGAGTCGATTGTTAATCATTTTCATCAACAACCATATCATCACTTTAAACTGAATATTTCATCACTACTTTGGTGTTCAAGTAGAAAATTATGTAATACAACGCAACAACAACTATAGAGGGAGTTTTTGTAAAAGATAAAGGTTTGGTATAAAACTTCAATTTTTAAAAGATCCCGAATAATGAGATTTAGCCCAAATACTAGAAAAAACTAATATTTGGGAATTTGAGATATTTGCCAAAAATATTTGACAAATAATGACAAATTATATGGACAAACACTATTTTCCAAATTTTCCCCCAAATATTACTTGGAAAATCTATGGTCAAACGGGTCCTAAGAGTCTTCATGACCTTGCCCTCGAAGTATGAGGACTCACCAATCCAATAGTAAACTAGCAATCCAAGCTAGCCACGAGTGGAAGGAGAAACACCGGATCTCATATTATAAAACAATATAGGCACAAGTATGCATTAGTAAATGGAATGTACTATTTATGGGAAAATGCATTAAAAGACTTAAACATGACCGTGTGAGGATTTAAACATTATATGCATGACCAAGCTAAAACATGAGTAAAAACCTGTAAAGAATCGTAAGTCATAAACAACATCAATGTATCCTTAAATAAAATAAAAGCTTTCATAAAACCTTTGAAGGTAACATAGTTCGTTTTTGTGGGATATTTACCGTTAACGGACACTAAGACCATGCGAGCTATAACATGAAATCCAGTGTAACCCTCACAT